CACAATTAATTTGAAATCAGATAAAGATATATATGGAGCTATATCAAAATCGGAACCGATCTCGATAAAATTTGGCAAAGATATTTCTGAGCTGTATTTGATACATTTCCCTGAATATCGTTGTTACAAAGTACATATTACGGCTGTGGGTAACAAATACAACAAATCGGATGAACAATATATATGGGAGCTATAGCTATATCTGAACCGCTCTTCACCAAATTTGACATACTACCTTCTAGACTCAATTCGGTCGTATGTGCCAAATTCCATACTATTCGGGCTGATATTACACGTTTGGTGCACAATAAAAGGCAAATCGGACGAAGATATATATGGGAGCTATATCTAAATTTTTACCGATTATCTCCAATTTCAATAGGGTTCGTCATTGGGCCAAAAAATGTTGTTTGGAAAATTTCATCTCAATCGGATAATATATGCGACCTGCATTTTGTTCACAAGAATACATGAACGGACGGACGGACAGACGGACTGACATGCATAAATCAACTCAGAAAATGATTCTATGCAGATCATCAAAAGGTACTATGGGTCTATCTCGTTTCCTTTTACCTGTTACAAACAAATGCACAAAGACAAAATACCCTGACCACCTTGTGGTCAGAAGTTCGCATTTTGTGTATTTCGGATATCGTTAGTATTTCTTCACACAAAAGTAGTGGTCCATTATACCCGCCGTTCTAAACTCTGACTTCATGCGAGATTTCGTGTCCTTTGGTTTCTATTTGTTGCAAAATCAGGAACATTTTTAGTTGTTGGTCCATTTCAACCTCTAAATATATTTCGGGCATCTTTGAAAACAATAGGTCTAGCCCTTCTGAGCCTTACTCTACCCTTGTGAAAATTTTCGTGAGGATCAACCGATAGTTGCAATCTGTATATAATAACACCAACCTGTGTTGTATGGCGAAAAAATATTACAAAATATACACTTCAATATTAAAAGTAAAATTGAAAAAATCGCAGGCGATAAAAAATATGAAAAATTACAAAAAAATGTCACAAAATACTACAAAATCTATATTAAATTCATTATTGTTATGTTTTTATGCGATTTTTTAAATTTTATACCATTCTGAAATAACAAAATTTGTCAAAATCGGCCAACCATTCTGGAGATATAAGCATTCTACCTAACATCACCTTCCTTTGTATATAAACATTGTACATATTTCGCTATATATATATCTGATATATTTACTATCGGCATCTATGTAACGGTCGGAATTGACCTGTTCGTATATTTGTGATTTCGCAGGGATTAAAAATATTCGCAGTTTAATAGAAAATTTGACTTTTTATCACAAATGCTATCTTCTTGGGAGGCTTCTGCCTAGCCCAAAGCTCTAGCCCCATGCTAACTTCCGCTTCGATTGGTCTATAATTGTGACCTGTAGAGCAATTGCAAAATCAGGAAATTTTTCAGTTTTTGGTCCATTTCAACCTCTAGATATTATACGATCATCTCCAAAAGCAATAGGGTTCTATTCTGGTTCTAGCCTCACCTAAATTTCGTGAAGATCGGGACATAATTGCGACCTGGAGAGTGATTAACAAGTAAAAAAGCAGTAAGTTCGGCCGGGCCGAACTTTGAATACCCTCCACCATTTGGAACGAATTAGAAAATTTTCAAAAAAATTAAATCCAAAAAATTCTTTTAAAATCTTTAAAATATCTAATATAGGAAGGTGCCGATATATGGGGGGATATACGATATTGTGGACCTATAAAGACAAATCTATGTCTGCGTGTAAAGTACTCACAAGGAACTCCTTGTATGGATTTTCAGATAATTCCATTGGAAAAAGTGGCTAAAATCATCAAAATACCGAATATAGGGGAGTACCGTTATATGGGGGCTATACGATATTGTGAACCTATATAGATGATTCTCTGCCGAGGTATAAAGTACCCACAAGGAACAACTTGTGTGTATTTTTAGACAATTCCGTTGAAAAATGTGGGTAAAATCATCAAAATCCGAATATCGGGGGGTATACAATATTGTGAACCTATAAAGATAATTCTCTGCCGAGGTATAAAGTACCCACAAGGAACTCCTTATGTCGATTTTCAGACAATTCCGTTGAAAAATGTGGGTAAAATCATCAAAATACCGAATTATGGGAGGGTACCGTTATATGGGGGCTGTACGATATTGTGGACCTATATAGATAATTCTCTGCCGAGGTATAAAGTACCCACAAGGAACTCCTTGTGTGGATTTTCAGACAATTCCGATGAAAAATGTGGGTAAAATCATCAAAATACCGAATATCGGGGGTACCGTTATATGGGGGCTATACGTTATTGTGGACCGATGTAGCCCATCTTCGAACTTGACCTGCCTGCAGACAAAAGAGAGATATGTGCAAAGTTTTAGCTTCCTATCTTAATTCGTTTAGACTGTAGCGTGATTACAACAGACGGACGGACAGGGCTAAATCGTCTTAGAATTTTACGCTGATCAAGAATATATATACTTTGTTGGGTCTAAAATGATTATTTCGATGAGTTACAAACGGAATGACGAACTTAATATACCCTCCATGCTTTTTTTGGTGGAGGGTATAAAAATTAATATTGACAGACGGACGGACATACATACCTAGATCAACTCAGCTCGGCGAGATAGGAAGATCCATATATACTTTCCTATGTGGGAGACCAACATTTCGAGGAGTTACATAATTTTTGGCCCAATCAAACTTATAATACCCCAAATACTTAATGTTGTGGTATATAAATAGGGAGGTACCTTTATATTGGGGCTATAGAAGACGTGGGCCTGCACAGACAATTTTCTGTCTTAGGCTGAAGTATCCATTACGAATTTCAAATACCAAATTTGAACGAATTCCGATGAATATTGTCGCTGAAATCATCAAAATACCGAATATCGGGAGATACCATTATGTGGGGGATATACCAAAACGTGGACCTACATGGCCCATTTTCAATACCAAAAGTCCTCCAGACATAATATAAATTTGAGTAAACTTTTATCAACCTACTTTATTTCGTTCGGAGGCTAGAGTGATTTCCACAGACGGACGGACATCGCCAAATCGACATCGAATTTTATGCTGATCAATAATTTTATATATACTTTGTGGAGTCTAAGATGTATGTTTCGATGCGTTACAAGCGGAATGACAAACTTAATATACCCTCCATAGTATGGTGGAGGGTATTCAAAATATATAGAGCCGAGTTACACGTCCCGAATTTCACTCCATTATTTACACAATAAACCTGAAATCGGATTAAGGATATATATGGGAGCTATATACAAATATGAACCGATCTTGACAAAATTTGAGACACTTATTTCAAAGGCAAATCTGGTACCAAAGATTATTGTTGTGGAGTGCATATTACGCATGCGAGGGACTTATACAAAAAAAAAAACGGATAAAAACATGTATATGGAAGCTATAGCTGTATCTGAACCGATTTTTACCAAAGTGGAAATACTTGTTTCTAATATTTGACAGAGGTATTTTTGAGCTCTAGAACTTATATGGTATCAAATATCGTGATTTTCACCAATTTCAATAGGATTCGACTTTGGGTCAAACAAATATTGTTTGGAGAATTTTATCTCAATCGGATATAAATTTGACCTGCATTTTTTTCACAAAAATACAGACGGACTGATATGCTTAAATCGACTCAGAAAGTGAATCTATGAAGACCCTCATAGAAACCTTGGGTCTATCTTCCTTCCTTCTCCATGTAACAAACAAATACACAAATACACAAAGACATAATACCCTTACCACTACGTGGTGTAGGGTATACAAATTAAAAACACCTATCAGAAGAGGGTTAAAATTCTCGTAATATCAATCTTCGTGCTGTTAAGAGTAATATTGCGGAAGACATTATATACCTACAATGTATGGATGCCAAATAATATTAGTTATTAGTTTATTAAGAAAATTGCATGTTCTGGAACAGACCAATTCTATATTGTCGCACAGTGTTTTTATGAGTTGCTTGTTTACTTAACCCACAATGGGTTAAACAAACTTAAGAATTAATTTCAAATAAAAACAGATGTTTTTTCCTCCCCATCTTCGGCAGCTAAAAATCGAAAATCATTGATAACATCATGTGAGGAAGTCTCGAACAAAACTTGTTTTTTTTTTTTTAACGCGATTCTTCCATAAACTCTCTCACACATTTACGAACTCTCAGTGGACTTGTGAACACAAGACATACGAAACTCTCGAATGATGCTAGGAACACAATTGGAGCGAACGACGAATTTTTTCGCGGCGTATGTTCGTCGTCAAAAATAAAACACATATGTGTATATGGAAGTGCACACAATCACGGCACCGGCGAAAATTTCGTCGGTCGCCGCGAACTCAATTAGCTTTATTTCTATTTCATACGCCGGCGACCGGCGAACAAAACAGTACAAGGTGGCCATACTTGTACGAATTTTATGTGTTTTAGTAAATAAAGTTACTTTTTACTTTAAAATTTGTTATGGTCACTCTACTATCTGTTACTCGTATAAAAAAAACATAATTAATTTGTTTATTTATTTGTGTACTTGCGCCTGAGTGAAGATGGATATCAGTGAATTTATAATAGAGAAGATGGACATAAGTGAAATTATAATAGAGAACGTAAAGAATTATGTGTTCTTGTATAATTCATTGTAGTCAACAAATGAGCAAAAAGTAAACAACTTCATCAGCTGTTTTTTAATTTCGTCGGTATTGTGTTCCATACGACGAATTTTCGCGGCTCATTTTGTCGCCGCGTAGGGCGAAATTCGTCGTTCGCTCCAATTGTGTTCCTAGCATGACTTTGACGTCATGAGAATGAAAAGTACGCTTCAAACCAAAACAAGTAAGCTTAGCTCTCAATTGAGTTCCAGCTCCCAATCAGCTGTTAATAACAGCGACAGAAGCAGCAAAACATTGTGGATGCATAGAATGGAACGCGACTTGACTTGATATTTAAGCTTGAGATCAGTTGTTGAACGGCTTTCGGAGAGCGTAGTTGTTTCACGACATTGGCATTGAATAGAGCGCGTGTGTTGTCATTGTTTGGAAAACTGGCGTTAGCGTCAGTGGCATTTTATTGCCGCAGTGAGAATCAAGAAAAAAACAAACAATAATATAATTATTACAAAAAAAACCACATAAATTAAATCAATTCGATTTTTTTCTTATACGAAAATAAACTTGTTTCACAGTGAATAAATATTTTTTCTTATCAGTGATTTTGGAATATTAATAATCAGTTCTGTAAAAACAAAAGAACAAGAATACATAACTAAAGTCCGGTATTTTTGGAATAAAATTTTTACTTTATTGATCGGCATTGTATTCACGTAAATTGTATTTCCATACAATACAATAAAAAACAGTCATCTTTTTTTGTTGCGGAATTACTCAGGGTCTTACTCACAATGAAGTTCTACCTAGCAGGTGAGTGAGTAAATGTTTTGAATATTAAAGCTTTGAAGCTGTGCTACAACAAAATGTACCGGCATATTGGAAACTGAGCTTGTTCTTTATGAATGTAATATTTATGACAAAATTTGAGTTATTTGCAATTTTGAAATAAAATATGGGGACATGGACCCCCCAACATTTCTTATTTAAACGCTTTTTGAATCTCCCCAAACGGTGCTTCCCATTTTTTAACAAAAATATAAACAAAGATTAAATTTGTTTGTTGTCGAAACCTCGCCAAATAAGTCCAAAATAATCTTGAATTGAAATTTTATCAAAATATTTCCAGGAAATATGTGTTTCAGTTTAAGTGTGTAGAATAAATATTGCAAAACTTGTTTTTTTTTTGTCGTTCGCTATCAGTAAATATTTGGAGTAGTTTGTTTTGTATTTTTCTGCTTTAAACGGATATCATTTTTGGAAATCGGCCAGCCAAAAACATCCGTAGAAATATTAATCAGTTAGGTATTCAACGGAAGTTAGTAGCACACGCTACAATCGATTAGATAGATTTACTTTAAAATTTAAATTTTTCGGTTGAAAAGGTCTCAGATTATAGTTCAATTTTTAAAGACTTCTATATCGAAAGCGTGATAATAATGGATATTTACTGTGAAATTATTTAAAATTTCGATCAGAATTGTATCTTTTTGCAATCTTCTATTTTATCTATAAAACAAAACGGAGCATAAAATATGTTATGTTCTTTCCATACTCTTTTAAATATAGCCGTCATATTAGGGTCTAAACGACGACGTGGACCTGAATAGGCAAGTTATGTCATGAGCCATTGCAATATTCAAATGCGAAACTTGAAAAAAAATCGGTGAATAATGTAGCAAAATCATCAATATAGGGAGGTATTAATATATTTGGAACTGCACAGACCCTTTTCTGTCATAGGCTGTAGTACCCATTACAAAGTGCAAATATGAAATTTAAAACCATTCCGGGGAATAGTGTAGCTAAAATCATCAAAATACCGAAAATAGGGAGGTACAGTTATATGGGGGCTATACGAGGACATAGACCTGCATAAAAAATTTTATGCCACAGGCTGCAGTACAATTACGAGTTTCAAATACGTAATTTGAAACAAATCCGGTGAGTAATGTTCTTTAAATCATCAAAATACCGAATATCAGGAGGTATCCTTATACGCAGACGTGGACTTGCATCGAAATTTATCTGTTGAACTTTAAATACGAAATTTGAAACAATTTCGGTAAAAAATGTCGCTAAAATTATCAAAATACTCAATATTGGGAGGTACTTGAACAAGTAAAAACGCAACTATGTTCGATCGGGCCGTATGTTGAATATCCTTCGGAATTTGGAAAATAAATTAAAAAATTCAGTTGAAAATGCCTCAAGAAACCTTAAAAAATCCCAATATAAGGTGTTAAACTTATATGGGGCTGCACAAAACAACATGGCTCTTTATAGCCAATTATCTGGCCAGAGAAGGCGATGTCTATTACGAATTCAAAATACCAAGTTTAAGATAATTCCGTTGAAAATTTAGAATTATTGGGAGGTACCATTATTGGGGCTATACGAAGGCGTTAATTGGTATGGACAATTTTCTCTCATACGAAGTAGTATCCATTACGAACTCCATATACCAAATTTGAAACAATTTCTCCCTAATTTTAAAATTTCACCCTATTTGGTCTAATACTGCACATTTGGTGCACAGTAAAAAACAAAACGGGCAAAGATATATGTGGGAGCTGAGGGACAGATGGGCGGACATGCATAAATCGACACAAAATTTGATTCTATGCTTATAATCAAAAGAGACTATGGATCTATCTCGCATCGCCCTCCATGTTACAAACAAATCTTCAAAGACATAATGCCAATTCCATAGTGTGGTATATGGAACAATTATTGTCTCTATTATTATTGTCTATTCATGTTGGTGATGTTCGGATAACTTTTAGTGGTCGAAATCTATAAAAAGAACCGGGAAATAAAGTCAATTTCTTTTTTAAATTAGTTTTATAATTTAACAGAAAAGGCTGGTTAAAATGAAGAAATCTCAATTTTACAACGAATCTATCAATAATCCCTGCCGGTACGGGGTACCCGTACTGGTGACGGGGGTGTCACACAACTTTCCATGTAAAAAGTAGAAAAAATCAGGAAAGGAATTATTTCGATTTAATCTGGGCCTCTCCGCATACATACCTATCTGTATCAATATTATACACATTTGTACCAGTTTTAGTGCCAAATGCAAATTTCTGAGCATAGTTATTACCTCAATTTTAGATATTTCAATATATCAATATCAGATATATGTAACCGTAAAAAATAACGATCACCGAAATTTTGAATATTGCCCCATCAGATCTTCGACGAGATTAAAAGCGTGATGGATCAATCTTTTTTTGTGGTAAAGGATTTCACAAGGGTCCACGTTTTGGAAAATACCTTATATAATAGCTCCGACCGACTTTAAAGTTATTTATGACCTCTCCCTATTTTTCGTATTTGAGAGGAAACTACATTTTAACCTTTTACGTTGCCCAGGAGTTTGTAAACAAACAAACTGATCGTGTTTACTTGCCAAAGAGGTCAGCTGAAAATGTGCACTTTCGGTTGGCCACCAGAACTCAAGCGCTGGCCATGGTGATTGTGTGGGCCGCCATAACAGCCGGTGGACGCTCCGCTCGTATTAATCGACCGTGGCATTAGAATAAATGCGAAATATTATCGTGAAACTATTCTGGAGGGTGTATTACAGCTTTGGGCACGCAAAATCTCCTGATACCAATCCGTTAGACTATTGTGTCTGGAGTATTTTCGAAAGCAAGGTTGACACTAAAGAATACAAAAGTGGCGATCACCTCAAACAAGCGCTTCGCCGGGAATGAGCCAAAATCGGGCAGCATGTGGACAGCCTATATTACAATGAAGATCGATCGCAGGAAACAATTGAATTGATTGTTCCTAAAGGCATCAATAACTATGCATATAGAAACAATCCCCGATAGATGGGACGATACCAAAATATGTACCTATGTTTAAATTTTTCTGTAAGATGTTTCTCTACCCCAAAATAGGCTAAATAAAAAGTTTTAGTAATATCAACTCCTTCAAAATAGGTGAAATCAGAAGGTAAATTAAAATGTGGAACATAAGGGCTATATCAGGAGGATAGCTGAAATCAGGAGGAAACCTTTAAATGAGGGTTATATCAAGACATGAAATGCTTTTTACTTTAAAACGAAATTAGTAAAACTTACCGAAATAAGTATGAAAAGTATATATAAAAAATACTAAATTAAAATCTCTGTATACACTTAGGTAACTGCTGTACCAAAACGTGGGCCCATATATGACACATATTTTGTAGAAAGGATTCTACATTTAACCCAAGGGCTTCTATTTTAAAGCTCTATTTTAAATTCTGCGAAGAATAGAGCTGAGCCTTATGTGTATGGTTAGGGCCGTATATATTTTGATGGCGCAACTTTGGCCCAATTTTGAATGTTTAGGCCACATTTTGCAACATAATTGGAAATAATTTGGTATTTGAGGTACTCGTTAAGTACGTCAACTGAGTATAAAATTAAAAGATGTCTAAGTTTTGGTAAAGCCGCAATATAAAGATTCCGACCGACATTCGATATTTTAAAGACCCCTGCCCATTTTAGCTATTATAAGAGGATACTTTCTTAAACCATTATGAACTTTGATGATTTCCGGCGTTTATTTTGCTTAATCGCACAAACTTCGAAATAAATACTAACTCCCAATGAACGGTCTTTAATGTCATCATCCACACCAAGTATGCCAGATGAGCCGCTTAACCAACGGCGAAACGCGTCACATAATGGGGAATGTGTGATAGTGTCTCTCTAGTTCACTGTACTCTAAGCTCATCTCGAAAGAGAAATTAAAAAATAATTCATAAACATATGATCTTCGTCTTAAGAACGCAAAAATCATAAACAATGTTTGAAAATATAAAAAGTAAGCAAAGGCAATAGTCGGCGTGTCGACCATGGGATAACCTATTTCTGAAGCCCTTGGGACTGAAATTAACAAATTCCTCAAAAATTGGTATTGAGAGTCCATAAAAGGTCCTTCAGGTCTTCTATAGCTAATAGAGGTCCTTCAAGTCTTCTAAACCCAAGAGATGGTCCTTAAATCGTATTTATTCAAAGAAGATCTTCAGGTCCTCATCTACTCAGTTCTGTGAGGTAGGGATATCGATATATAACGTCATGGGCCTAAGATCAATATTTCGTGACTGTAGCCTTTGTTACAAAATTTTTGGCCCCCGAAACATCGGGTTCTAGGGTATAAAAGCCAATATACTCGAAATGTGTTATTTGTTTTCTTCTATAAGGTGAATAACAAAATTTTAAATTAAAATGTCAACAATTCTATACTAACAGCTTTTTGGAAAGCGTTCTTTTACCAAGCGTATCATTTAAATTACAAGCAATTCCAATCCATCCGAATGATCTTCTTTCCATTTGTTTCATTTCCTGCATGGCGGGATGAGTAAGCAATGTTTACCGACAACAAAAAATATTAATTAGACCATTGACCCCAAAACCAGTTCAATGTTTGAAAAGAAATTCAATGGTCACAATTAATTATCAATTTTATGTGTGATATTTTTGTTTTTTCTTTTTCGGGTTATTTCACTGAAGCTTTTTTGTTTAATTAAAAACCATTTCTTTTGTTACGAAGAAATGAACGTCAGCTGTACAAAAATCCCCATATAATTATGTGATGTCATATTTTATGAGCGGAGTTTCCGTATTTGTGCTATGGGAAAGTACAAACCCGCCGAATATCATCAATTCTTGGTAATTTGTTTTTAATAAAAATCAGATTATTTTGTTTGATGTTTATAAATTTGTTTGGTGTTATCACTTAATTAGGCACGAATTTATTTATGGTCAATGCTCTTGTTTGTTTTTAAATTGAGCGAATCATGTCGAACAGGGGGAGATAGGAAAGTACAGATGCTGAAATTATGAAATGAATAGCTTTCAGAATTTGGGTTAATTAAATATGTTAATATTAATGATAGGGAAGTTGTTGAATTCTAATACTTTTAAAATGGAAATAGTATTTTTTAATTTTTTAAAGAAAATTAAAAAAAAAAAAGATAAAATAACCCCAACAAATTTATGTTTTCGAAAGCAATATTTTTTTTAACCTCTGAAATTTTATGTAAAAATAATAAAAAACACAAAATCCAAAATCTGTTTCACATTATTCTGATATGTTCTTAAACAAACTCGATTCCTCTGGCTGTCACAACATGTTACCATCTCATGCATTCCAGCCAGACAATAATCTGTAAAATTGTTCCCTCTTATCAATGCACACACGCCATACATCGTTCTGCATTCTTGCAGATGTGTCGGGCAATCCAGTTTTTTGGGAAAATCCCATTGCTGCCTGTATACGGTTACAACAGCAAAGCCTCAACGATGATAGCATTTAAATTATATTTAGAACGCTGTGACGCTGCGCAGTGCTGACTTGTAAGGAAAGGCAAAAGTGTTGTTCGTCAATTTAATAAAAATAAGATAAGATGTAGTCGCCACAAATGGAACCTTACGGAGGAGGAAATGATTTGTTCATGTAAATATAGACAATGAGTGGCCGAGAGAATACCTTCAGGTCTTCTATAGACGAGAGAAGACCTTCAGGTCCTCTATAGACGAGAGAAGACCTTCAGGTATTCTATAGACAAGAGGGGACGTATAGGTCTCCTATGACCAAGAGAAGACCTTCAGGTCATCTGTTACTAAGAAGACATTCAGGTCTCATATAGCCAAGAGAAGGCCTTGAGGTCATTTATAACTAAGGGAAGACCTTCAGGTATTCTATAGCCAAGATAAGACCTAAATGTCTCCTATTGCCAATAGATGGCATATAGGTCTATAAAAGATCTCCAGGTCTTCCATAGCCAATGGAAGACTTTCAGGTTTTCTACAGCCTTCAGGTCTTCTGCAGTCAAGAGAAGAGCATCAGATCTTCTATAGCCACGAGAAAATCCATAGGTCTCCTATAGACAAAATAAAACTTTCAGTTCTTGTATAGCTTAATGAAAACCTTCGGGTCTTCTAGAGCCAAAAGAAGAGCTTCAGGTCCTCTGTAGGTTTTCTATAGCGAATAGAGAACCTTCAGGCTATGTATAGCCCATAGAGGACCTTTAGGTCATCTATAGCCCATAGATGACCTTCGGGCCATCTTATAGAGGACTTGCGGGTCTTCAATTGAAGATAAACGACTTGCAGGTCTTCTATAACCAATATATGACCTTAATGTATTCTATAGCCAATAGAGGAACTTACGGTCTTCTATAGCGAATAGAGAACATTTATACTTCTACTTTTATGTCTTCTATAGCTATACGAATGTGGCCTATAGAGGACCTTTAAATCTTCTGTAGTCAAGACAGGACCATTAATTCGTCTGTAGTCAATAGAGGACCTTTAAATCTTCTGTAGTATATAGAGGACCTAGAGACGTTCCATAGCCAATAGAGGACATCTAGGTCTTCTATGGCCAATATTGGACCTTCAGGTCTTCTATAGACAAAAAATGGACTTTCTTGTCTTCCATATAAAATAGAGGATCTCCAGCAAATAGAGGACCTTCAGGTCTTCTTTAGCAAATAGAGAATATTGAAGTCTTCTATGGTCAATAGAAAGTGAGTCTATTCCATACCCCATAGAGGAAGTGGAAGTTAGTCTATTCCCATAGACGAGTTGCAAGGGAGTCGATTCCCATAGACGAGTTGCAAGGGAGTCTATTCCCATAGACGAGCTGTAAGTGTGTCTATCCGCATAGACGGGCTGCAAGGGAGTCTATCCCCGTAGACGAGCTGAAAATGGAGTCTATCCCCGTAGACGAACTGAAAAGGCAGTCTATCTCCGTAGACGAGCTGAAAAGGCAGTCTATCCCCATAGACGAGCTGAAGTGGGAGACTATCCAATAGACGGGCTGAAAGTTAGTCTATCCTATATCCCATAGCTCAAGGCGAGGGAGTCTATAGACGAGCTCAAGGCGAGGGAGTCTTCCCATAGACGAGCTCAAGGAGAGGGAGTCTATCCATAGACGAGCTCAAGGAGTGGGAGTCTATCCATAGACGAGCTCAAGGAGAGGGAGTCTATCCATAGACGAGCTCAAGGAGAGGGAGTCTATCCATAGACGAGCTCAAGGAGAGTGAGTCTATCCATAGACGAGCTCAAGGAGAGGGAGTCTATCCATAGACGAGCTCAAGGCGAGGGAGTCTATCCATAGACGAGCTCAAGGCGAGGGAGTCTATCCATAGACGAGCTCAAGGAGAGGGAGTCTATCCATAGACGAGCTCAAGGAGAGGGAGTCTATCCGTAGACGAGCTCAAGGAGAGGAGTCTATCCGTAGACGAGATCAAGGCGAGGGAGTGTATCCGTAGATGAGTTCAAGGCGAGGGAGTCTATCCATAGACGAGCTCAAGGCGAGGGTGTCTATCTATAGACGAGCTCAAGGCGATGGCGTATATCTATAGACGAGCTCAAGGCGAGGGCGTCTATCTATAGACGAGCTCAAGGCGAGGGCGTCTATCTATAGACGAGCTCAAGGCGAGGGCGTCTATCTATAGACGAGCTCAAGGCGAGGGCGTCTATCTATAGACGAGCTCAAGGCGAGGGCGTCTATCTATAGACGAACTCAAGGCAAGGGAGTCTATCTATAGAAGAGTCCAATACGAGGGAGTCTATCCATGGACGAACTCAAGGCGAGATGAGAGAATGAGAAATGTGAATGTGAAAATAATAACCCCCAATGAAGGTATCCGATTTCACCCAAACTCCACACATCGTAATATGTTTGTCAAGCTTAGACAGAGTTCGATGATGAACTTGTGGATCCTCCGTCACAGAATAAAAAAATGTTTATAGGCCCACTACTCTCCATTCCCTACACAAGGTCAGAATTTTGAAAACTATGGATCTCCTATGCGGCTTGGGTCTATAATTTGGTTAAAAAATGTCAGTTACCAAATATTTTTGTCAAATTTTGACCAGATGCTAGAGAAATGTTAAAACATGTAAATTGTATATAAATTGAATAAAAATATTTTGAAATCTTCAATTTGGTCGTATACAGTTCTGCCGATTTCCCATATGGCCCTACGGCTAAAGGTATAAAAATTAGATTATGCCTTTATAATATTAAGCTTTGAACATTTTTATACCTGTCGCTATCTACTGCCAATGCCACATGACAAACAAATGGAAGAACCCACAACGAATATTAATTTTAAACTGGTTTTTCAAAAGGCGGGAAAAATAACTAGCTCATTCATTGTCTGTCGTGGAAATCAGGTTGTGTGCACTGGGAATTTCCCATCAACAGATTAACGCAAAGCATCAAAACAAATCTAAATTTACATTTTAGTAGTGACAATACCTTCATGACATGTGAAATCTGTTGTCTAGTCGCATAAAGTGTATTCAGACAAATTAATATTCTGCTATTCAAATGATCGATAAAATATTAATTATTTCCCTTGTTTGTCTAGTTGTAGCACTTATATGCCTTACATTGCAAATATGTCCCGTGACTCAGGCCCAGCGTTCGGCGCCACCCATTCTGGCCTCGAATATAACACCAAATTTCCCTTCACGTAGCAGCATGGATGCAGATGCCCTGCGAGAGAGTCAGCATCGTATTGCCGTTGGCACCGAACGTTTTGCCTTGGAATTTTGGAAGCGCATGTCTGACTTCCACTTGGCGGCACCGGGGAAAAATTATATGATTTCACCTTTTGCTGTGTGGTCATTACTTCTACTTTTGGCGGAGGGGGCCAATGGTAATACACTTAAGGATTTTCAAAAGACTCTATATTTAGACCCGGATCACAGGGCCATACGTCTGGCCTATAAACAAATTTCGCAGCAATTGAAGTAAGTGGAGACATTTTATTAACAAAAGAAAAAATATAAAAATATTTTTTCTTTCTTTTCTAGGGTGAACACATCCACCATAGAGGTTGCCTCATTCCAGGCCCTTTTCACCGACATCAATCGCCCAGTTTATCGTGACTATGAAAATCTGGTGACACGCATCTATGAATCAGCCTTGATACCAGTGAATTTCAGTGATGTCAACCGGACTTTCACACAAATCAATGAGGATATCAACAGAGCCACTCGGGGTCTTTTGCCGTACAGTGTACAGCCTCAAGATTTTGAAAATGCAGCTTTGCTAATGATTTCTGCATTGTATTTTAAGGGTAAATGGAAGGTAAGATGGATACATGTTTAGGAGTTTATATTTTTTTATAATTCTCTGTTTTTTTGGCAGTTCCCCTTCGACCCCGCCCAAACAATTTCTGCTCCCTTTCATGATGAAACTGGCAAAGTGATGGGTAATGTCCAAATGATGACCCAAGTTGGGCCATTTAATTATGCCAATATGAAATCGTTGGACAGTTATATCCTGGAGCTTCCCTATGGCAAGGAAGATCGCCTGTCAATGTTTCTTATATTGCCAAAGAAATGTGAGTATAAGATTATATAAGACTAAATAAATTTGTATGGACTAAATAAATTTGTATGGACAGAAGAACACCTACAAAATGTCCTCCTTCAATTCGATAATAGATCATCTAAATCGTCTAACAACAAACGACCCTTAAATAATCCTTTTTCAGAAAGGGCCAGATATGAACATCTAGGTTTAGTAGCTGCATACATTTAAACAAGAAAAAAACCTGAAAATTCGGCCGGGCTGAACTTTGAATACCCCCACCATTTCCAACGAACTTAGCCATATTTAAAAAATAAAATTAGTTAAAAATTCTGTCAAGATCTTAAAAATACCGAATGTACCTGTTACATTAGGGTCTATGCGACGACATGGACCTGCATAGATTACTTTGGTCATAAGCCATTACAATATCTAAATGCGAAAAAATCGGTTATTATGTCGATAAAATCAAAATAACGAATATCGGGAGGTACCATGGGGGTTATAAAACGTGGACCTGCACAGACAATTTTTTGACATAGGCTATAGTATCCATTACAATTCCGGTAAATAATGTCGTTAAAATCATCCAAATACGGAACACCGGGGGTATCGTTATATGGGGGCTATACGAAGACGTAGACCTGCACAGACAATTTTCTGTCTTAGGCCGTAGCATACATTTTGAACTTTAAATACCAAATTTGAAACAATTCCGGTGAATCATGTTGCTAAAATCGTCAAAGTACCTAATATCAATTTTCCATCATCGGCTGTAGTATCCATTACGAACTTCAAATACCAAATTTGATGCATTTCCGATTAATAATGTTGCTTAAATCACCAAAATACTGAAAATTGGGAGGTACCATTATATGGGGGCTATACCAAAACGTGGACATACATGACCCATTTTCAATACCAAAAGTTCTTCTTCTACATAAAATAAATTTGAGTTTAATTTTATAAACCTACTTCAATCAATTCCTTTGAAAGCTAGAGTGATTTCCACGGACGGACATTGCTAAATCGAAGTGGAATTTTATGCTGATCAAGAATATATACATAATTCTTCGAAATTAGGGTCAGAGTAATGGTCCGATGTGCAACTTTTTGGTTCAATGGAAATTTTGCTATTTTTCACACAAAAGCTAGCCCATTTCACCTGCTTAATATTAACCGATGATCTTCCAAATTTGTAGGCTTCTATCCTGTCCTAAACTCTTTCCCTATGCTAAATCTGGATTTTTATACTCTACAACACTATTTATTGGGGGTTTTATAAGGAATACTGGTTCAAGACATAAGGAACTATGTATGGATCTTTCACCCCGCTGAGCTGAGCCGATCTAGCTACGTTTGTCCTTCTGTCCATGTTAATTTGTAATTACGCAAATGATCGTATTTATATCCCGATCTTCACGAATTCATTTTGGCACATCCTACCAATTTCAATCTAGAAGCAAATTCATCAAATTTGGAGAAAATCTTTTCAGATATAGCTACAGCTTTCATATATACATATTACATTCGTAATATGTCTCCTACAACAATGGTATTCGGTACCAGATGTCTAATAGGGCCCAGAAATACCTTAGCCATTTTATGTCAAGATCGGTTCAGATTTGGATATAGATATATATCTTTATCTGATATCAAGTTTACTATGCACTAAATGAGTTTCCGATTAAATCATCGCAGAAACCAGTACTTCAGATTTGTAAAAATCGGTTCAGATATAGGTATAGCTCCCATATATTTGTTTCATCCTATTTGGTGTTAAAGTCTACTCCACATAAATTTCCAATATGCACTTTTTTTGTGACGGGAGCATAGTGGTGTAGGGTATCATATAGTCGGCCCCACCCATCTTTAGATTTTTCCTTACTGTTTTTTTTTTATAATTTCACTGTACTGTCACCATTTTGGGCTGCAGAAAATTTCTAGTTTGTAGATCAAGACCCCAAAGGAGTTTCGGGTTCTTAGGCCAAACTTTTGCCTGTTATATGGAGGTATCACATAGTTTGATACATATTACATCATTTATGATACAGCTTTAAAATTTGAAAGAGATCTCCGGATTGCATGCACAATCATGAGTGCAACATGTGGGTTTTGAAGATCCACTTTTTTGAATAGGATAAGTCCAAATTGAATTTTTATACCCTACAACACTATGTGTTGGGGGTATTATAAGTTTGATTGGGCCAAAAATTATGAAACATCACGGAATATTGGTTTCCCACATAGGAAAGTATATATGGATCTTCCTATCTCGCCGAACTGAGTCGATCTAGCTATGTATGTCCGTCCGTCCGTCTGTCTATGTTAATTTGTAATCACCCTACAGGTCGCAATTATGGCTCGATCTTCACGAAAATGGAGGTGGGGTTAAGGTTTTAAATTTTTTTTTCACCTTACAACACAGGTGTGGATTATTATATAAGAATTGCAAATATCGTCCGAGCCTCACGAAAATTTTTACAAAGGTAGGGTTGGGCTCAGAAGGGCTGGGCCTATTGTTTTCAAAGATGTGCGCAATATATTAGGTGGTTGAAATGGACCAACAACTAAAAATAAAAACCAAAGGACACGAAATCTCGCATAAAGTTAAAGTTAGGACAGCGGGTACAATGTACCAATAATCCTGTGTGAAAAATACCAGCACTACTTACAGGCGATATCCGAGTTTCTAGCTTTTTTATGCTGATTTCGTTGATGAATATAGCCAAATATCGTAGACAAGCAATTCAAACAGATGAGTCTACATTTGGAGATACAGAAGGGCCTCTTGCTTTTGGAGATGATCGCAAAATATTTAGGAGTTCAAATGAACCAAAAACAGAAAAAATTTCCTAATCACACAATTGAAGCCAATCGACACGCCTGAGAAGAGAGTTAAGGACAGGGAAGAATTCTAACATTTTGGATGACCATTGGGTTATATTTAGCTGTAAAATGGACCACAACAACTAACAGCATGACAGAGTGCGTAAATACTGAACAAATGTCCCTGGTCGAAAAGTTAAGGGTAATATCTGGGCAGTGTCCCGTGACATAATTTCATAAGCGAAATCTTCCGAAAGGGATTTGGACATAAGGGGTCTTCTAACATATTGCAGTGTTGTAGGGTATCACATGGTCGGCCCCGCACGACTACAGACTTTGCTTACTTGTTTTAATTTGATTTGAATTATAATTCAGCCAAATTTTGGTATTTTGAGTTCTTTTTGTATAAAAATGCTATTTACCAAAACATAATCCATAGATGTAGGTCCAAATTTTGATACAGCCCTTATATAAGCGACCCTTGATTTTCTTTATTGTGAGAGTCTTTTCCTCTCGAAATTTAGGAGTAAGGATTAAGGTCAGAATAGAAGGCACTTCCGACTTTGTACTATCATTTTGCATATGTATATAGTCAGAAAAATGGAGATATAACTCAATATACACATAAATGTATATTTTGTGGAAATCACACTAGCTTCCGAACCAAATGAAGTAGATTGATAAAATTTTAGTATATTATGCCTGCAGGACTTTTGGTATTGAACATGGGGCATGTAGGTCCATGTCTTCGTATAGCCACCATATAATGGTACCTCCCGATATTCGGTATTTTGATGATTTAAAATTTCGTATTGGAAGATATTAATGGGTACTACAACACATGACAAAACCAGTAAAGAAAGTCTTAAAGTCGGGCGGGGCCGACTTTATCATACCCTACAACACTTTGCTAATTTAGTAGAGCTCCACATAAAAATTAAAAGTTTTTATGTGAGAATTCAATCATACTCTCTATGATTATAATTTAAGGTTCAAAAGACTAAATGTGCCGAAGCATTTGTATCTTTTAAATTCGGATATGTGTTGCCCATTTGGTGCACAAATAATTTAAAATCGGATAAAAATATATATGGGAGCTATATCCAAATCTGAACCGATCTCGGTAAAATTTAGCAAAGATATTTCTGAGCTATATTTGATATATTTCCTTGAATATCGTTGTTACGGAGTGCATATTACGGTTGTGGGTAACAAATATAAGAAATCGGATGAACAATATATACGGGAGCTATAGCTACATCTGAACCGATCTCCGCCAAATTTCACACACTAGCTTCTAGACTCAATTCGGTCGTAAGTGTCAAATTCCATCCCATTTAGACAAATTTTAGACGTTTGGTGCACAATAAAAGTAAATCGGACGAAGTTATATATGGTAGCTATATCCAAATCTGAACCGATCTCGATAAAATTTGGCAAAGATATGTGAGTTGTATTTGATATATTTCCCCAAATATTGTTGTTGCAGAGTGCATATTACGGTTGCGGAGGACAAAAGTAACAAATCGGATGAACAATATATATGGCAGCTATAGCTATATCTGAACCGATTTCGATCAAATTCGACATACTTATTTTTAGGCCTAATTTGGGTGTATATGCAAAATTCCATGCTATTCGGGCTGATATTACACGTTTGGTGCACAATAAAAGTCAAATCGGACGAAGATATATATATGGGAGCTATATCTAAATTGTTACCGATTATCTCCAATTTCAATAGGGTTCGTCCTTGGGCCAAGCAAATGATCTAACAATTTTTCATCTGCATCGGGCATTAAATGCGACCTGTTCTTTGTTTACAAAAATACATGGACAGACGGACGGACGGACGGACGGACGGACGAACGGACATGCATGAATCGACTCAGAATGTGATTCTATACAGATAATCAAAAGGAACTATGGGTCTATCTCGTTTCCTTTTGCCTGTTACAAACAAATGCACAAATACATTATAACCATAACCACCTTGAGGTGTAGGGTATAAAAATTCGTATGCAGGTCCACGTTTTGATGATTTTAGTTATTTCCTTTCAAGTTTCGGATTTGTTTATTGTAATGGCATATGACAAAAGTTGTCTATGTAGGTCCACATCGTCGTATAAACCCTAACATAACGGCTACAGTCGGTATTTTTAAGATTTTAACAGAATTTCTAACGGATTATTTTTTTTTTGATAATTGCCAAATTCCTTTCAAATGGTGGAGGGTATTTAAATCATTATTTAAACATCTTGGGTTTTGTGTATATTTTGAACACATAACTTTTAACGAGCGCATTCGAGGCAATTTTTAATTTTTGTGTGGTCAAATAAAATGTTACAAATTACAATAATAATAATTACAAATTCCATTTTTTCTTTTTTTTCTCTAGCTGTCAGTTTGAACACCGTTATTGGAAATTTACGCAAGGATGGTATTAGACCAATCGTCGACGAATTGAACAAGGTGGCAGCCATGAATGCAGAAGAAGAAATTGAAGATCAAGTTGAAGTTTTTTTACCGAAATTTAAATATTCATCACATTTCTCGCTGAGAACAGTGCTAACAAATGTAAGTTTATAAAAAAGTATTAAAAAAATAACAAAATATTAAAAAAAATTTAAAATAATTCTAATTTTGTATCTTTAGATGGGCATTGTTGATGCATTCGAACCAAGTCTGGCAAATTTGGAAAATATGGCCAAGAATATGTATGTCGGTAGTATCTTCCAATCGACACGCATTATTGTCAACGAGGAGGGTACTGAGGCTGCAGCGGTCACAACGGCGGTATTGGTGAACAAAGCATCGCCCACCAAATTCTATTTGGATCGTCCATTTGCCTATGTGATAGTGGAAAAGACTTCGGGATTGCTGCTGTTTTGCGGTGAAGTGCGGTCGAATGACTTCGTTTAGTCATAAACGAAAAATAAAAAAATGTTTTTCATGTGCGAAAACAAATTAATTTTTACACAATTTTTTTGTATTTAGTTTAAGTTAGTTATAAGCAATAAGAGCTCAAGACAAATTCATGATGAATAAATATATGCATATTCACATATCAGAAGATTCATTAAACATTAAAATACACGCACTGAGGTAAGGTCTTATAGGCTGAAAGCGGGTAGGAATAGAAAAAAACTAGTCAAAAGTTTCAGAGGATTTGGCTTAATTTTTTGCTTAGGTATCGTATTTTATTTTCCTGGGAAGATCTGGTCAATATTTCGACTATTTTGACTCATACTATTTTTTCCTACTCAAAGCCTCATCCATCCGCTTCATTATGTGTTTTATTGCATTTGGCTAGTTTCCCTATTATCTTCAAGTTTTCATAATATTTGAATACATTTTAAGACAACTGCAAATGTGTAGTATTTAACAGTTGAAGGACAAGAAGGCCATAAAGAAGTTCTCACAAATATCCACAAGAATTATTGTCCTTGCGGCTAAATCACGTAATCCATAAAATAAATGTGCCATCCAGTGTATAACTACGTATATTCCTAACCCGTGGTGTCTACGATGCTCAAGTTAAACCCCTTAATACCATCGGCATACAGGTGCTGTATGAGCTGTAAACTGCATTATGGATATAATCACGTTGCCAGCGTATATGTGGACAATTTTATTGCGAAGCTGAGTAGGATAAATTTCAATGCAGATGAATAAATTTTCATTTTTGTTTAAAAATCACTTTATTGATTATATAGATATTATTTTACTTATTTAATTATTAGAACTTTTAATGCCCTCCACCATTTGGAAGGAACTTGAAAAATTAAAAAAAACCAGTAAGGAAAGCTCAAAAGTCGGGCGGGGCCGACTATATGATACCCTACACCACTATGCATAATTAGGAGAGCTCTCGTAAAAAGGTTTATACAGGGCATTTCAGAGCTGTATGAGATATTTGGTACAAAATCAAAATCTATCTAATTCTATCGTCCATTTTACGAACTATAGCTATCTCTGAACCGGGTTTCTCCAAATTTGACGTATAAGCTTCTAGACTGAATTCGGTCTTATGTACGAAAATTCATGCCATTTGGGCTGATATTGGCCATTTGATGCACAATTAACACGAAATCGGATGAAGATATATATGGGAGGCATATCCAAATCGGAACAGATTTTAATAAAATTAAAATCAACTATTTTTGGGCTTTATCTGATATCTGGTACCAAATATCATTCCTGTGGATTGCATATTACGAATGTGAGGGACTTAAAGACCAAATCGGATGAAAGATATATATGGGAGCTATAGCTATATCTGAACCGATTTTTACTAAAATTGGTGTACTTGCTTCTAAGCTGGTTTCTGTCGGATTTGCCAAAATTGATGCTATTACGGCCATTTGGTGGTCAATCACCAGAAATCGGATGAAGATATATATGGGAGCTATATCCAAATCTGAACCGATTTCGATAAAATTTAAAACAGCTATTCCTGTGCTCCATCTAATACCTGGTACCAAATATCACGGTTGTGGAGTGAATATTACGAATGTAAGGGACTAAAACACTAAATCGGATGAAACATATATATGGTTGCTATATCTATATCTGAACCGATTTTCACTAAATTTGATATACTTGCTTCTAGGCTGAATTTGGTCCGATGTACTAAAATTCAGTCCATTTGGACTTATATCGGCCATTTGGTGCACAATTAACCCGAAATCGGATGAAGATATATATGGGAGCTATATCCAAATCCGAACCGATTTCGATCAAATTACGAACAGCTATTTCTGGGCTGTATCTTATATCTAGAACCAAATATCATTCGTGTGGAGTGCATATTACGAATGTGAGAGGCTTAAACACCAAATCGGATAAAACATATATATGGGAGCTATATCCAAATCTGAACCGATTTTCTCCAAAATTGTTGTATTTGCCTTAAAGCTAATCTCGGTCACATGTGCCAAAATTCGGGCCATTTGGGCTGATATTGGCCATTTGGTGGTCAATTAACCCGAAATCGGATGAATATATATATGGAAGCTATATCCAAATCTGAACCGATTACGATAAAATTTAAAACAGCTATTTCTGTGCTCCATCTAATACCTGGTACCAAATATCACGGTTGTGGAGTGCATAGTAGGAATGTGAGGGACTTAAAGATCAAATCGGATGAAAGATATATATGGGAGCTATAGCTATATCTGAACCGATTTTCACTACATTTGATATACTTGCTTCTAGGCTGATTTTGGTCCGATGTACTAAAATGCAGTCCATTTGGGCTGATATTGGCCATTTGGTGGTCAATTAACCCGAAATCGGATGAAGATATATATGGGAGCTATATCCAAATCTGAACCGATTTCGATAAAATTTAAAACAGCTATTTCTGTGCTCCATCTAATACCTGGTACCAAATATCACGGTTGTGGTGTGCATAGTAGGAATGTGAGGGACTTAAAGATCAAATCGGATGAAAGATATATATGGGAGCTATAGCTATATCTGAACCGATTTTCTCCAAATTTGATATACTTGCTTCTAGGCCGAACTCGGTTGGGTGTGCCAAAATTCAGGTAATTTGGACTGATAGTGGACATTTGGTGCTCATTTAACCCGAAATCGGATGAAGATATATATAGGGAGCTATATCTAAATTTGATCCGATTTTCACCAATTTCAATAGGGTTCGTCCTTGAGCCAAAAAAATATTGTTTGGAAAATTTCATCTCAATCGGATAATAAATGCGACCTGCATTTTGTTCACAAGAATACATGGACAGACGGACGGACGGACGGACGGACGGACGGACGGACGGACGGACGGACAGACGGACGGACATGCATAAATCGACTCAGAAAGTGATTCTATGAAGGTTCTCAAAAGTAACTATGGGTCTATCTCGTTTCCTTCTCCATGTTACAAACAAATGCACAAAGACATAATACCCTTACCACTATGTGGTGTAGGGTATAAAAATCGTTGACAAATTCCCTTTAAACAAAAACGTTATTGTTTGTCTTAGGCTGTAGTACACATTAGCACCTTCAAATACAAAATATTAAAAATTCCGTTGAATAATGAATTTCAAAATTTTAGCTCCTTTCCCTCACCCAATGACAAATTTAGTAACATTTTGTACGTATATCTAATCCATTCTAGAGAAAATTAGTACTATTTAGTATTCTTCAAATAATAATAAAAAGCATTCATAAAAAAAAACACCACCAGATCCCACACCAGTCACAAACAGAGACCTCAATATCACATATTTCAATCCTAGACACCAACAGTTCTCGCAATATAAAATTTTCCGGATATCAGCTTTATTCCTTTACCCAATTTAGTACCAATACCACAAAACCACAAGCATGTCCATCTCTCCACCCCAGACACCAATAGTGTCCAAGTCTATCCCAACAGGCAAGGGCATATTTTGTGGCATTTCCGTATGTTCATAGTTCGCATTTCCAAATCAAATCCTTCTCTCACCTATAGACATCAAAAGTGACATTCATATCAAATTTTAGGATTTCAGATCTTTCCCTTCACGCAACCCCAATTTAGTAACATTTAATTCTTTTTTTACAATTATATTACTCATTTTCAAAACCACCTCCATATCTTAATCCCAGATACCAACAAGGACCTCAATATCAAATTTGTGAATTACTGCTCTATCCAATGACCAAATACTCAATTTAATACCACTTGGAACAATTATAGTATATTTTTTGTAACAAATATAGTACTATTTAGTACTTTTCGTGCACTTGTAGTACACATTTCCAAAACCACCTCTTTATTACAAACCGTCCACCAATAGGAATCTCTATACAAAATTTCAAAATTTCAGCATTATCCGTTCACCTTTAACTTGTTCCAAATTTAGTACCATTTAGTACTGTTTGCACACTTAGTACACATTTCTAAAACCACATTCAAATTCATATAGTTTTTCACTCTATCGTTTTGACAATTATAGTGCGAATTTCCTTTTCGAATTTCCGTTCACTTTTTATCAAGCTGTTTCAAATTTAGTACCACTTAGTACTGTTCGCACACATAGTACACATTTCCAAAACAATATTCATATAACAAATTTCAAGTTTTTCGCTCTATCCGTTCCGACAATTAAAGTGCGAATTTCCAAAAACCTTTTGGTACATCCATCAGTGACCTCCTTTCTCATCAGTGACTCTTGTCACCCCAACCCCTATCAGGGTTTAAGAGTCGACCATCATCCGTTTCATCTGGGCGAAGATAAATCATTAAGTCTATTTAATGCACGCCTTAATGTATGCTATAAGAATTGAAAAATATATTTGTAAACAACAGCTTTGTTCCAAACACTGCATCAAGCTTTTATTTTCATAATTTTTATACGAATTATACGCTTTCTCGTTATAAATTGTTTTCAAATGATTTTCTTGATTTTCACTTATAAAACAATACCTTCAGATATTCGATATTTTTACTATTCCACCACTGATTGTCTGAGATTTGTAGAAAGGGGGAAATAGCTGTTTTCGTTTCTGTCACCCCCCATAAAAATGTTCAAATCTTTCTGGTATCTCTCTCGCAAAAGTATTAAAGTTTAATAGGTCTCATCAATTGTGAAATTAGTGCATTAAAACTTTCCGCCAGAAACTGCTAATATTTTAAAAATCCCGAATCTCAAATGAGCTGGTGAAAACCTCAACGCCTTATGGCCATAGAAGACCTTAAGAAGTCTATCTTTTATTGAAGATCCCACAAGACGATCAGTCTATAGAAGACGTTTAAGGCTTTCTGTACAGAGGATGCCTCAACAACGTATTTTCTAAACAGAAGACTATTTATGGAAGAACACTACGGGGGGTTTTCTTTATGTGAGACCTCTACAGGGCCATTTTTATATGGAAGACCTCAACAACGCCTTTTTCTATATAGAATATCTGCTTGAATCCTTCTGTGTATGGGAAACCTCTCCAAGTCTTTTTATACCCTACAACACTATGTGTTGGGGGTATTATAAGTTTGATTGGGCCAGAATTTATGTAACACCTCGGAATATTGATTTCCCATATATGGATCTTCCTAGCTCG